CCCGACCCTGCAGTGGGTGGAAAGGTGCAGCTGAATCCACTGGTCAGATGCCCTCAGCAGCACCTGCTCCCCTGAGTGGCTGGTGACTGTGGCGTGCTCAGAGCAGCCTGGGTCACGTGGGCCAGGAGCCGCGGAGGAAGCTGAACTGCCCCGAGCCACGCCCCGCTGTCCTGTCCTCTCGGCCCCAGATGCTCTCCCGCCGGGTAAAAGCAAGTCTGCAGAGGGCCAAGGAGCGATCACAACCCCGGGTTGGCCCTGGCCGGAGCGTGGGCCCAGGCGGACCATCAATTACGAGGCTCCCGCTCTGAGCCGGGCGAGGGCCCAAGCAGGCGCGTGTTTACATGCAGACTGCTCTGTTTGGGGCCTGCAAATCCGTGTCAGATGTTAATGGAACACTATCATTTTTCTGCCGGGGTGGCATCCCCAGGGACGTGTGGATTCAGCCTGGGAAAGGCAGTGGGCGGCTAAGGAGGGACGCAGCCAGGCCCCACCCAGCACCCCCCTCCCCACCCCACCCCTGCCCTGGGTTCCAGGGAGGCACCACTGTGAGAAGTCAGAGCCCGCCCCCCCCCCCCCCAATCTGGACAGGAGCAGCACTGAATGGGGACACAGCCTGGCGGAACTCCAGACGCAAAGCCGGCCTGGGTGCTCTCCCGCGGGTGCTCTCTCTGCAGCCCCCTAAGCCCCAGAGGCCCTCTGCAGGGCCTTATATTTTGTCCCTCACTGGGACACCAGTGAGGACGCCAAAGGGGACAGAGGCTAGAGACCCTCCGGGGAGCAGGGTGAGGAATGAGAGCACCCCACAGAGCCCCTCTGCCCAATGTGCAGACGTGGAAACTGAGGCCCCAAGCCCCAGTCAGGTAGAGCAGGGGGCAAGGGGCACTGCCATGGGCACTCGGGTTTCAGGGTAAAGTCCTTGCATTGTCCAGTCCCTGCTCCCGTACTCACACACTGGCCCCTCCTGCCCTTCCACTCAAGGGTCACCTCCTCCAAGAAGCTTCCTACCTTTGTCCTCCATGGGCAGCTGTGCTGGTACACACACACACACACTGCATTGGGACATAGTTGGGGCTCAGAAAACATGGCCCACCCAGGCCCTGAAACCACACAACATGTCTGGTCTGGTTTGTGCCATGAGGTCTGGCGCCCCCGTCAATGTGTGTCACGGTCAAGGCGGCTCCCACAGGCTGAGGTGCAGCCCGGATTTGAAACTGGCAGCATCTTTCCCCTCGACCCTGGGTCATAACCCTTGCACTGTCCCTCCCACCCCATCAACCTCAGAAGGAGACACACACACACACACACACACACACACACACACACACACACACCGCTCTCCAGGCCACATGCCTCAGTGTCCCTTCCTGCTAAGAGGGCTCTGAGCTCAGAGTTGAGCAGTGGAGGGGTGAGGGACATCATCTTGAAGGACTCTGCAGCGCAGAAGAAGAAACTCCCCAAAGGTGGGGAGAACAGGGCAATGGACAATGTCTGTAAGTAGATGATGCTTTCCCTGGTTCCTGCCACAGGGCCTTTGCACAGCCCTGCCCAGTTCTGCTTTTTATCACACCTCCTCAGGGTGTTGCACACTCCCTCAGGCTACCTCAGTGGCCAGCAAGACCTCGCTGGGTCCTGCCTAAGCTGGAAGTCAAAGAGCTAGTCAGACTTTACTTGGATCCCAGCTCCAGCAGCTAAGACCTGTGCCTCTGTGTGTCTATTGTAAGACGAAGGTGGTGTGTCCCTGCGTTTAGTAGTCAGAACGAGTTGTATGATTATTGTTGCCGCCCTTACGCCACTCTCATGCCCCAGTGACTATTCTGTTCCTTGCTGTCCCCTTGACCACAAGCACTAAGTGCACCGCCTGCTGGACATCAGCTGCTCAGCGAGCAGCCTCGGCAGCGACCCCTAGTTCCCAGCTCGCCCCTGACCCCTGGTGGCTACTCCAAGTACTGCCCTCACTGCCCAGAGGGAGCGTCATCCTGGCTCAGCACCCCAAGAAGGATCATGCAGAAGAGCCTTTTTTCCCCTGCCTGCGCTGCTGAGCTCCCGACTGCGTGGAGATGATGGGAACCCGTGCAGTGGGTGCGGGGTGCAGGGCGACAGCTGGGAAGGATGGACAGAGCCTGATGGGGAGACTTGGGGGCTCGTTCAGGCCGGCACCTCCCAGGCCACCCCACTCCAGAGGAAGAAAACCTGAGATGCTCAAGTACCCCATCTCACTGGAGGCACATCCAAAGATACAGCTGGGTCTGCACACACACACACTGACATGTGCATGCATACACATGTACACACTCAGTTATGTACTCACACTGACACGTGCATATGCATGTACACTCATGTTTTCACACACATGCACTGACACGCATATGCAAGCACATACACACGTGCAGTTGTGCACATGCACACACGCCCATGCACACACTCGTGTGCACAAGCTCATATACTTTTATACACATATGGGTGCACACATACCTATGCACACTCATGCATTCATACTCCGTGGCCAGCAAGTGTCTGTTGTACGATGAGACAGTGCTGGCCACGGACTTGCCACTGAGCATGAGTGCACACACACGCGCGCGCATACACATGCCTTTGTGCACTCATGCACACTCATGCTCTTACATATATTCACAAATACCCCCACACACTTACATACACTCATGAACATTCATGTTCTCACATACGTTCACACATGCACACACATACACACACTCATGCACACTCGTGCTCTCACACACGTTCACACACCCGCACACACACCTATACACTCATGTACACTCATGATCTCACACATTCACACACATGCACACACACCTATACACACTCATGCTCTCACACACGTTCACACTCACACTCATGTACACACGGCAGACTCGGAGCCTCTCCCCAGCCTTGTGAGCAGGGCAGGGTCTCCAGTGCCAACAGCCGCCTGGACTGGATGGCCTAGAAGAACAGCCAGACCCCAGGGCAGGCCAGGGTGGGGGGTCCAAAGCAGGACCCAGACTCGTAGCCCAGGGCCAGACCTGAACCCCGTAGCCACAGAGGCAAAGCCTTGGCACCCACGGGACAGCTACGGGCCCCAGGTGAGTGCAGAGGACTGAGAAGCAGGGCACAGTGATGTCCACAGCTCCCAGTGCAGGCTCCAGGCGTTCTCTCTGACCCCTTCCCATGGGGGGTTGGGGGGGTGTCTCTGTATCTCTCTTGCCTTGTTTCCTGCCCCTGATGGTGCGCGGTGCATGGTGGGGACCTGTAGTGGGTTTGCAGGGACTGTCATTGGATCCACGCCTACCCTTGGGGCACTCTGGCTCCGGCCCCATACCCAAAGGCCTCACGCAACTGCATGCTGGGACAGTTCAACAGCAGGCGGCCTCAGGGCTGGAGGCTCGGGGGATCTCAACCCTTCGGGTCTGGCATGTGCGTCCCCAAGTGCCCCCCTTCCACCCCATGAGGCACTCGGCAGCCACCGAAGCAGAAAGGACACAGACATGGTTCTGTACAAAACCTGAAATAGTTTTTTTTTTACTCTTTTAAAACTTTGATCTAAGTCGCCTTAGACCTCATGGACTCGATACAAGAGTAAATATGAATCGGGAAATAAAACACTTTAATAGCCACGATAAACTTTGTTAGAAATGTACATGTTGCCAAAAATAATAATAATAATAAAATTAAAAAAATAAAAGAGAGAGAGCACAGCTTGATGCCCAGGCGAGATTGTAGAAAGGTTTCACAAGGACGGGGAACAGAACCCTGGAGAGCCGGGGGTTGCTGTCGGGCTGGGGTGGGGGTGACCCACCAGCCTCAGGCTCCGGGCCTGCGTCCCCCCCGCAGACACGGTGGGCGGCGGGTAAGGCTGCGTGAGCTGCGTCTCCTCACAGACAGAAGAAAACCCGGGGATGGGTATATAAACAAAGCTCATAAGAAATGTACAAATATAAAAAGCTACAAACATTAATAAATTACAGCATCACAAAACACAGAAACACTTCACAAGGTGCTAGTAAAATAACTGCATCCCCCACCCCTCATCATACAGGAAGGAAACAATAGCTGGTATTCAGGTTGAAGATTTGTCTTCAAAACGTGTCTGGCAGAGATCTTTTGCACTGTTTGCTTCTGTAAAAGACAGACCTAAGGCCGCACAGACATCACTTGTTTTTCAGGCAATACCTTAGTTTTTTTTCTAAAAGAACGAATGATAGTAATAACCATAATAATCCAAAGAAAGGGGCAAAAGGAAAAAAGCATCTGAAACCCAACGGTTCCTCAGACTCGGCAAAAAACGCGTATAAATGTTAATGAGGGAACTCTATAGAAAGAAATTCCTAAAGATACTCTTACTCTTATAAAAAAGAAGTCATTTAAAAAGCTATTTACACGCTACATTCTATGAAAAATATGCTTCAGGAAATACATCTAAAATTAAAATACAGGATTGCCTGAGAAACAAATGCAGCCCCTCCGTGTCGATGGGCGGGCAGGCGGCCACGCGCCCGGACCCCGCCGCTGCCGCCGCCGTGGACACCAGCGCGCCGGCCGGGTGGGAGAGGCGCTCTCAGGAACACGCGCGACGCGCGCGCGCGTGGGGCGGGGGCGCACGGGCCCGCCCCCGGCCCTGCCCCTCCCTGCGCCCGGCTGAGCTCTCGGAGCTCGTCGTGGGGGGTGGGGGGTGGGGGGGCGGCCCGGGGAGAGGCGGGGCGCGCGGACACCCTGCTCTCTCCTCCGCTCTGTCCTCGGCGTGTGTTTTTTAAGCCCCGGGAGGCTGCCGGCCTCGGGCCGGCTCCGACTCCCGGGCGATGAGCATTAGCTCGCGCCTTCCTCGAAGGCCTCGTGGCCCCCGGAGGCTGTCCTCAAACTGGACCGGTCCCCTGGCCGGGCGGCGCCGCCGGGGAGGGGGCCCTGGAGCAGGGACGCCTGTCCTGTCCGTGCAGGGGTGCGCTCAGACGCTGGCCAGGGGCGGGGGCGGGGGGTGCGGCGGGGTGGGCACCAGGGCCCCCCGGGTGAGGCACTGCGGCCGCCGCCCTGCTGGGGGCTGATGTCTCAGCGGGGCTCCGGGGGGCGCGGAGGGGGGCAGGGGCCGTGGGGGGCGGGGGGCGTCCTGAGCGGAGCAGAAGGATCCTGACCTGACTCTCCGAACTTTAAAGGAGCAGTTTTCCGTTCCGGTGGATTTTCAGGATTTTCCCGAGCCTCTGTTTGGCGGTGGCCATGCCCTTTTTTGTACGTTTTCCTGGGGGGGCGAGGAGAGGACACAGGAGGGAGGTGAGAGGGAGGGGCGGGCGGGAGGGGAGGCCGCCGGGCAGGGGCCGCCTCGCACGCTCCCATCCTGCCCGGGCGGGGGACCCCGGGCGCCGCGGCGGGCTCCTCCGGGACCAGCGCGGGGCGGCCCCCCGCAGCCCCGCCGCGCGCGCGCGCGCGCCCTGGGCCACGCGGCCCGGCTCCGAGGGCGGCGAGCCACAGCCCAGCTGCGCGCAGTCCAGGCCGGGCCCCCCACGCCGAGCGCCGCCGTCCTGCGGGTCACCCATTCACTCTGCCCCTTCCCTTCCAGATAGGCGCCCGGGCGCGGGCCGGGCCGAGGGGTGGGGCGCGCGGCTGCAGGGCCTCCTCCGGGTACCTTTGGCAGCGGCGTTGTTGTTGGGGGAGGACGCGGAGGGCCGCCTCTGCGTGAGGAAGACCCCGGGCGCCATGGGCTGGGCGGCGCGGCCGGCCTGGGCCCCCGCGAAGGCGCCGGCCGCCGTGTACTCGTGGTCGGCCAGGCTGCTGCTGTGGGACTCGGGCGGCGGCGGCTCGGGCGAGCTGCCCTCCTGCGAGGCCTGGCTGCTGGCCGTGCTGGTGGACGCGGGCGTGGTGGAGGCGGGGGTGCTGGAGGCGGGGGTGGTGCCGGCCGAGGTGGTGCCGGCCGGGGTGGTGCCGGCCGAGGCCGAGGGGGACGCGCTGTGCTGCGGGGCCAGCTTCCTTTTGGTGCTCTTCTTCTTCCGGATCTTCTGCTCCTCCTTCGGGAAAGCAGTGGCGGGTTTGGGGGGCGCACACTGACGCCGGCCCGCTCGGGAGCCCTAGGACCCGAGCAGACCCGAGCCCCTCCCCCCGCGTCCCCCCCCCAGTCCAGGTCTCCGGGCGTCCAGCCACAGTGGACATGCAGGCCCCGGTCCAGTCTGCATCTACCCCGCACGGCGGGTGTGCAGGAAGGACGGCCTCTGGACGGGAACTGCTGCCCAGTGGGGTCTGCCCTGACCCAGCCCGGCCCTCCCTGGGAGGGCTGGGCCTGCCCGGGAGGGAGGTGCCCGCCGGGGCTGGTGTGACCCGGGGACCAGAGGAACGGGCAACACTCCTGGGGCAGCTCCCAGCCCAGGCGGCCCGCGCGCGTGACGCGCGGGGCGGGGCGCGGTGCGGGGCAGCTGGGAAGTGAAGCCCCGTCACTGCTCCTTACCTGCTGGGACAGCTTGGCTGCGGCGGCCGCCAGCCCGGTCTCAATGGACGCCACTCTGGTGCCCTCGCGCATGGGTCTGTCCTGCCTCGGCATGGACGGGCCAACCCTCGCTGCCGGGAAAATGCAGGCTGCCTGGAGGGGGCCCAGCCACTGTGGCCGCCCACTTTAGGGCTCCTTGACCTCACCCCTTCTCCCAAGTCGCGTCCCCCGCTCCCTGACCCTGTCCAGACACCAGACCCCGCTCCGGGTTCCCAGGCCTCGCCCCTGCTCCCAGGCCCCGCCTCCTGTCCCCAGTCTCCGCCCCTGCTCTCAGGCCCCGCCTCCTGTCCCCAGGCTCCGCCCCTGCTCCCAGGCCCCGCCCCTACTCCCAGGCTCCACCTTCTGTCCCCAGTCTCCGCCCCTGCTCCCAGGCCCCACCCCTGCTCCCAGGCTCCACCCCCGTTCCCAGGCCCCGCCCCTGCTCCCAGGCCCCACCTCCTGTTCCCAGTCTCCGCCCCTGCTTCCAGACCCTGCCCCTGCTCCCAGGCTCCACCCCCGTTCCCAGGCCTCGCCCCTGCTCCCAGGCCCCGCCTCCTGTCCCCAGTCTCCGCCCCTGCCTCCAGGCTCCGGCCCTGCTCCCAGGCCCCGCCCCTACTCCCAGGCTCCACCTTCTGTCCCCAGTCTCCGCCCCTGCTCCCAGGCTCCACCTTCTGTCCCCAGTCTCCGCCCCTGCCCCAAGGCCCAGCCCCTGCTCCCAGGCCCCGCCCCCGCTCCCAGGCCCCGCCCCTGCCCCCAGGCTCCACCCCCGTTCCCGGGCCCCACCCCTGCTCCCAGGCTCCACCTTCTGTCCCCAGTCTCCGCCCCTGCTCCCAGGCCCCACCCCTGCTCCCAGGCTCCACCCCCGTTCCCAGGCCCCGCCCCTGCTCCCAGGCCCCACCTCCTGTTCCCAGTCTCCGCCCCTGCCTCCAGACCCTGCCCCTGCTCCCAGGCTCTGCCCCTGCCCCAAGGCCCCACCCCTGCTCCCAGGTCCCGCCTCCTGTCCCCAGTCTTCACCCTTGCTCCCAGGCCCCGCCTCCTGTCACCAGGCTCCACCCCCCACTCCAAGGCCACGCCCCTGCTCCCAGGCCCTGCGTCCTTGTCCCCAGTCTCCGCCCCTGCTTCACACCCCGCCCCTGCTCCCATGCGCCGCCTCCTGCCCCAGGCTCCTCCCCCAGCTGCGGACCCCACCTGCTCTGGTCCCAAGTCCCCAGGCATAATCCTGAACTTGGGCGGGGGGTGGGGGGGGAGAAGGGGGATAGGGGTCCATGTCCAGCCAGAACAGGCAAGGCCCAGCCCAAACAAGATAAAGGTGGGTGGGCACACCGTGTGTGCATTGGGGAGGGGGCTACAAGGACAGCTGACTGGCAGGGGGTGGGGCCAGATCCCTGCAGCCAGGCGATGCCCATCTAGGCAGGTGTTCACCATCCCGTTTCAGACCCCAAGGGGTGTGGACACGGAGCCCACCTGTGGGGCTGTAGGGAGCGTCGTCGGAGCCTTTCCTCTTCTTAGACCGGGACTTGAAGACGGGGCTGTCCTCATCCGATTCCAAGGAGGGGTACACTAGAGGGGGGCAGCCGGGAGAGGGTTGAGTCCTGGAGAGCGGGGGTGTCTTCGGAGCCCTCCCGAGACGCTCAGAGCAGCCCGAGGCCCTGGGGTGCTGCAGAGTGCCCTGAGCCGGGAATGAGGCCTGGGGCATGCAGGCCTCTAACAGATAACAGGGCAGCAAGCTGGATGGTGTGCACCGAGGTGCAATGACGCGCCAGCCAGAGCTGACCGTCACAGCCTCCAGAGGGGGAGGGCAAAGAGGCTGGGGATGGGCAGCAGCAGCAAAGGGCCGGGGCAGGGTGTCCACTGAGGATGACAAACACCCCCCCCCCACCCCCGGTGCCTCTCCAAGGCGCTCTCCCGCCTGTCACGCCTTAGATCCCGGTCCCTGTGCGGGGCCCCGCAGCCTCACCGTAGTCTGAGTCCTTGAAGCAGGCGTCTAGGTGGTCCTGGTCCTCCTCGTAGTCGTCCAGGCCCACACTGTTCCTGGCAGTCCTCTTCAGCAGCCGCTTGCCCACGTTTTTGCTGCCACCCCCATTTTTCCGGGTGCCATGGGCCCCCAGGGAGCCGCCCTTGGCCTGGCCGGCTCCCCACGTGGTCTGCAGGCAGGAGTCGGAGGCCTGGAGGTTGGCCATGGACAGCATCCCCTGAATGGCTTCCTGTGTGCTGGGGGAGGCCGGGGGCTGGCTGGGGGCACAGACACAGGCACTCAGCACGCGCCCCCAGACTTAGCCCCTGCCTGTGGCCTCCCTCCATGGCCAGCGGCCCACGGCAAACAGGCCACAAGTGCGTCTGCCCAGAGCCACGGTGAGCAGCGCTTCCTGTATGGGGGCCAGGGCTGGCTGCAGCTGCCACGGGCTGAGGGGATCCTCTCCCCCATGAGAACGCCCCCCGCCCCAGGAGATAAGGAACGGAGGTGGAGGGGGACAGACACATGCCACCCATTAGATCTCTCCAAACTGATATCTGAGATCGGAGATCCCAGCCTCCTCCCTCCCACTGGCCCCGGGCTGCCCACATTGTCTCCCACCCAGGACCCCTGCTCCCTTCCTGCCTTTCAGGGTCCCGCCCACCTGACCCCTGGCCCAGGCAGCACAACCCCTCCCATGCATGTTCTCTCCTGAAGAACTCCCTCTGCCTTCCACACCTGTACCCAGATCTATGTGGTGCAGCACACCTGCACCCACTCTACACCACACCTAAACCTGCACCTACATCTATACCCACACACACACCTGCACCTACATCTACACCACACACATACCTGTACCTACCTCTACACCCACACACACACACCTGCACCTACATTTATACCTGCACACACTGCTGCACGTACCTCTACACCCACACACACACCTGCACCTATCTCTACTCCCGCACACACACACCTGCATGTACCTCTACACCCACACACACATCTACACCTACCTCTACACCCGCACACTTACCTGCACTTACCTCTACACCCGCACACACACACCTGCACCTACCTCTACACCACACACATACCTACACCTACCTTTACACACACACACACACACCTGCACCTACATTTATACCTGCACACACAACTGCACCTACATCTACACCACACCTATGCCTGTACCTACATCTATATCCACACCCACACCCACACCTGCACCTACATCTACACCCACACCTACATCTACACCCGCACACACAGCTGCACCTACTTCTACACCCACATACACACCTGCACCTACCTCTACACCCGTACACACACCTGTACCTATATTTATATCTGCACACACTGCTGCACCTACCTGTACACCCACATACACAGCTGCACCTACATCTACTCACACACACACCTGCACATACATTTACACACAAAACCTGCACCTGCCTCTATACTCACACACATACCTGCACCTACATTTATACCTGTACGCACTGCTGCACCTACCTCTACACCCACATACACACCTGCACCTACCTCTCCACCTGCACACACACCTGAACCTACATCTACACCTGCACCTAGGCATACATCTACACCTGCACACACACCTGCACCTACACCTGTACACTCCAGGCAAGGCCTGCAGGGAGGCAGGGCTCAGCCCATGTTGGTGGTCACCAGCCTCCACAGCAGGAGCCGCACATGTCTGCACGGCCCTCTTCAGGGTCCCGCAGCGCCATCAGTGGTGATGCCAGGAGGGCTCAGGCCACTGCTCTGGGGCAGAGACCTCCCAGTACTGAGCCGCAGAGATAGGGGACGCATCTGCCCCCAGTCCAGGAGCTGGGCAGAGATCTCAGGACAGGTCTGGAGGAAGCTGTCCTTCAAGGGGACACTATGCTCCAGGCAGGGGCTTCACAGTTGGGGGGTGGGTCACCGGAAGAAGGGCCACTCCCACCCACAGATGCATAGAGGTAGTGGCTGGCTGCCTCTGGATGGGGGCATCAAAGCTGTGAACCACAGAAGGATGCTGAGTGGTCAGAGGCTGAGGGGTCGGAGGCCTGTGCTGGGTACCCGGCCCCACTGGAACAGTCCCAGACAGGCACTTCTGTGGCCCCCGCATCCCTAGCAGACCCAAAGCCACCCCAGAGTGGTATCTCCCGTGACACCCCACAGCACTGACCCTGACCCCAGCTCTCTCTGTACCCCACAAGGACCCACCTGCCCCCCGAAGGGCCTGTCCCCTCACCCAGCTTCACTGCTGGGTCCCCGCCACTGCCAGGGGCAGGACACCCACAGAGTGACCGCTGGGAGCCGGTGTGGAATCCAGCCCCACCGGCCAGCACCATCTGGGCCGTGCCCTCCCAGCTGTGCCCGCTGCTGCCCTGGCAGCACCGCTGTCCCTGCAAATCAAGTCTCGGCGTCGACCCCGCATGTGGAAAATAATACCTTAATCCTCCAATTACCATACCAAAATCTTTACCCCCCCAGCCCCTTCCCACACACACCTCAGTAAACATGAAGAAAACCATCCACAAGAAATTAACATTTTTTCCTCCTTTTCCTTAAGCTGTTGTTGCTTTTCAAACATTCGAAAACTTAAAACAGAGCAAATAGACCATCAAAACCTGCCGGAGCCACGGACGGGAGGCTGGGAGGGGCGGCCGGCAGCAGCTGCCACACGGCAGGCTGTGCGAGCGAGCGCTAGTGAGCGTGTGCGTGTGCATGTGTGTGTGTGTGAGTGTGTGTGGCGTGGGCATGCACGTGCAGGCGTGTGCTGGTGTGTGCAAACACGTGCGTGCACATGCCGGGATGTTTATGTGAGTGTGGGCCAGCCTGTGTAGGCGTGTGGGTGTGTGGCGTGTATGCACATGTGTGGGCACATGCAGGCATCCGTGGCCGTGCAGACAGGACCCTCACTCAGAGCCCCAGCCCCCCAGGACTCTCGTGTGATCTCATGGGGCCAGGGGTGTCCTGGGTGCCTCAGACAGGCGCCCTCCCACAAAGGAGTGGGGTCAGCATGGGGTCACAGTGCCTTCCGGAGGCCACTGCCCGGGAGACCCTGCAGGATAGGGGCCTCAGGCGCAGGTCCTGCCATTGCAGAGGCCACGAACAGTGTGCGTGTGTGTGTGTGAGGGGGGGAGCCGGGGGGGGGAAGGGTGTGTGTGCAGGACACAGCAGGAAATCTGGACCCCAGAGCACCCCCCTCCCCCCCGCCAGGGCTGCAGGAAACAGATGCTACACACAGCCGGGGCGGTACCAAAGGTGCCATGGGCACTGGGCCCAGCCAGGCCTTAAGGCCAGGCATCTCCTGAGGCCACGGCATCTCTTGAGCCTCCTCGGGCCCAGCGGGAAGAGCCTGGAGGCCCTCCCACCCAAACCCTCTCAGACAGTGGGGTGGACAAAGGGCAGACGGGGGGACCTGACCCCCAGGAACTGACCCTCCATTCATCCCGCCCAGCACAGCGGCTGGGGAACTGGGCATGGGGCAGTGGGCGCTGGGCCTCCCTCCAGCCTCTGCTCTGAGGCCACTGGCAGACTGGGGTCCCTCACGGGCAGCCACGGACCCCCCCCCCCCCCAGAGCAGGAAGGAGGGCTCATGGCTATTGAAGAAGCAGAGCTGGGAAGTGACCACGGGCAGGGTCATGAAAGGCCAGGCCACCAAGGACTGCCAAGCCAGTGAGCAGGAAGTCCCTCTGTCACCCCTAGGTCAAACCCAGGGACTGTGCTAAGCAGACATAAACCCTTGGGGCCCACTATTCGCCCGGACTCCAGGGCCTCCTGGGTGACAGTTGCATCCCAACCTAGCCCGCAGTGCTGACGCATCCTACCCTGCTGGACCACCTCAGTGCTGTGCAGCCACCCCTGGGGCTCCTTCCCCATGGGCCCAGGGCTGCCGCCTCCCCGGAGCCCAGCTCTAGGTGACACCATGGGTGTCACCCAAGCCTGTCACCCAAGCCTACTGCTGGGTTCTGCTGTGCTGCGCCCGGCCAGCACCATGATTTGGGGCATGGGCCAAGCAAGGCCTCTCGGGGGGGGGGGGGGTCTGCGCCCCCTGAGCTCGGGGCCATAGGCCTCTCGTAAGCCCGGCCAATAACAACGCTGGGACCCCCCCAGAGGCACACCTGAGCCCCAGCCCTTCTCCGCCCCCCACCACCTGTCAGGCAGAACCGGAGCCCACCTGGCCACCCACAGCCGTTCCTGCCTCCTCTGCTCTGCGCTGGCTGGAACCCCAGGGCCACCACCCGGGGCCTCTGTGGACCAGCCCTGCCCCGCGGGCGCCTACCTGTTGGGGTTGTACTCGAGCGCGCCCACCTCCTCGCTGGCCTGCAGCAGGTCCAGTATGCCCGTGGCTGAGCTCCCGCTGTCCTTCTTTACTTTGGCGTTGCGGCTGGGCTTGGCGCCCGTGTCGATGTGCAGGGAGCCCTCGTCGGAGGAGTCGTCGCTCTGCTGGGGGACGGGGGCAGTGAGAGGGGGTGAGCATCCCCCCAGAGGGCCCCTGCAGGGGGCTTTAGCACCCACAGTAGACGGGTGGCGCAGAGGGGAACCTGGCTCCCAGAGCGGACAGCAGAGCACCCATCGCCGGGGAGTGGGTGCACGCAACCCTACAGACCCCCTACAACATGGACATCCCAAACACCACTGGGGCCTCGTATGGGGAAGCTCCTGGCTCAGGCCTCTACCACAGCCCTGCTGCATTGAGAACCCAGGGGTCCGACACCCTCCACCCCCACCTGCCTCCTGCCCGGCAGCCTGGCACGCAGGACCCCCCAGAGGCACACCTGAGCCCCAGTCCTTCAGCGTGGAACAGGGATCTCAGGCCACAGCTATCCGTGGACACCTGTGTGAAAGGAGGGGGCTCACCTGGCCCCCCCGCACACGTGAGCAGAGCGGGGCAGCGGGGCTCACCTTGTAGCGCGCCGAGTCTAGCTTTGGCTTGGAGGCTGGCATGGACGGCAGCTCCTTCTTGTCCAGCAGGACTGTGAGAGAACAGAGGCCTGACCGTCCAGACGGGCCGGGAGCCCCCCAAGACGCAGCCCCCCACCCACCCCCCGCAGCCCCCGGGCCTCGGGGCACCCGGACTCACAGGACAGGTCCCGCTTGGGGGCGCTCTTCTTCCTCCTGATGGGGAACTCGTCGATCTTGAGCTCACCGTCGTCCGACACATACTCGTATTCGTCCCGCACGGGCTGCGGCTTGTCCTCCTTCAGGCTCTGCAAAGCTCCGAACAGCCCCGAGCCGGGCTGTGGCTTGAGGCCCTTGGAGCTTGGGTGCAGACAGGGCCGTGAGCGGGTACCACAGTGCCCCAGGTCACTGCCACCCCCCCAGGCCCAGGGGCTCTCGTCCACTGCACAAGGGAGACCTCAGGGCCCAGCCAGGCTGGGCCGCTCCCAGCCCTTCTGTCTGTCCCCCCATATTCTGAGCAGGGGCCATGCGGCTGCCCGGCTGCCCTGACCACTGCACCCACCAGGCACAGAGAAGTGCTCTGGGAGGCTGGAAGGGAGCAGCAGGTACTTCTGGGCCTGCGTGGAGGGGCCCAGTTGGGGTCACTGAGCAGAAGCAGCGCCAGAAACCCTGACCTCCTGGTGCCCTGATCTCCAGAAGGAAGCCCCGTCCTGCACGGCCCCAATAGATCCCAGCAACAGACAGCCGCAGGAGCACTGCAAACCATCAGCCACACAACACAACACGTGCCTGATATGGCCATGCGCTCACAGTCCACACCACACACCCACGTCATGCCACACAGTCCCAGCAAACACACACACCGTACAGCGCACATTATATACCCTGCCAGACACACATCATACAGTGCACACACCACCCCCATCATGCACACACACACCACACATCCTCACCGTGCACACACATGCACTGTCCAGCACACACACAACTACACATCCCCACCATGTACATACGAGCATCCTAAAGCACACACACCCCAACACACACATACACATATTGTACAGGACATACCACATCATGCACACTCATTGTACAGCACACACGCACCCGTCTCACACACACACACACATTGCACAGCACACACATCCCATCACGCACACACATGCAAGTTACAGCACACACACACCAACACCTCCACCGTGCATACACATGTTATCATACAGCACACACACACCCATCATGCACACATGTCATACAGCACACACACACACCACCATCATCATGCACACACACTTTGTACACACACACATTGTACAACACACAGATGACACCACACACACACACCCACACACACACACACACACTGATGGTCCCCTGCACCATTTCCTGAGCTATGGCGCTCACCTAGTGTTGCATTCACGCCAGCACCTCCTGACACTGAGCAGCTGCTGCAGGTCAAGGAGTCTGGGCTCTGCAGCCATGGCCACAGCCCCCTGAGCAGCGGGGCTCAGGACAGGAGCACACAGTGGATCAGAACTTCCCTCACCCCACCCACAAGACTTGTCCTTCTCCCTTTTGCAGATGAGACTCCTAGCAGAGAGAGGCCTCGTTTCCGCTGGGTCAGTCTGTCGCCCAGGCCAGGCTGCGCCCCCGGCCCCAGATGCCAGCAGGGTGGGCAGGAGATCCCCCCTACCACCTGGAACCCATGCCCTCTCCCAAGCCCTCTCCTCCTCTGCACCTGGACTAGGGCTCCACTGCACCCTCCTAAGCCAGCCTGACCCACAGGCCAGACCTGAGCAGGCCCCAGCCACAGCCTGGAGGGTCTGAGCACCTGGGCCAAGCACCTGAGCACACATGCACGCACGTGGCCTGGCCCCAGCGTGTTTGTGGTGCTCTGCAGCTGTGCGTGTGGCCCAGCCTCACTGTGTGCTGGTGCCTCAGAACCACAAGCTCTGCTGCTCTACCTGCCGCCTCCACACAAGCCTCCCTCCCTCTCGGCCTCCTGCACGAGGCCCACACCCAGCCCCGCCCTCAGGAGCAGGAGGGGCCATGAGGCTGCCAGCGCCTGCCCAGAGATGCCCTGCAGGAGGGCACGATCTAGGAGGGTGCTGGAGGGCGGGGGAGCATGCGTGTGACTTTCCTGTGTGTGTGTGACTGTTGTGTACGACTGTCCTGTGTGTTACTGTCCTGCGTATTTCACTGTCCCATGTGTGTCTGTCATGTGTGTGCAAGGTGTGTATGATAGTTTTGGGAAAGACATGTGGAGGGTGTGGGGGTATGAGATGTGTGCGGTGTGGGTATGAGTATGATGTGTGTGCACAGTGTGATGTGTGTGCATGGGTGTGATATGTATGCACAGATATTACGTGTACACATGAACGTGATGTGTGTGCGTGGATGTAATGTGTGTGCATGGGAAAGGTGTGTGTGCAAGGGTGTGGTATGTACAGGTGTGATGTGTAAAAATGGGTGTGGTGTGTGTACATGGGTGCGATGTGTGTACATGGGTGTGATGTGTATACATGGATGTGATGTGTGTATAGGTGTGGCAATGTGCATTGGTGTTGTGTGTCTTTAGGTGTGACTATGTGCGTGTGTTATGGGTGTGCATGTCTGAGGTGTGTGCATGGGTGTGATGTGCTCACTGTGATGTGTGCATGGCCATGATGTGTGTGTACAGGTGTGATACATGTGAAGGCTGTGTCGGGTGTGTGTCTGTGAGGTGTGTGGAAGCCCTCTGAATGTACACTCACGTACCCCAGGAGTTTCTTGTTGGAGAAGGAGAAGGAGAACTTGGAGTCCTTGTTTCCTGACGACAGTGGAGACTTCTCCAGCTTCTGCTCCTCCTCCATCTTCAGCAGGGAGTCTGGCTTACTGTTCTGGAAAGCAGAACCACCATGCTGCTGACCCGGTGGGTCGGCTAGCAGTGGGCAGAGGGGACAGTCGGGCCAGCCTCCTCTCACGTACACGCACCTGCCCAGGTGCCCTATACCAACTGCACTCCAGGTCAGGGGCAGCAAAGGACAACATCCTGGCTCTCGGGCCGTGGGATGTCCCTGCACAGGCCACAGAGACAGCCGCAGAGCCACACCCGTGCCAGGACCACAGCAAACCACACAGCGCCGCCCACCTGCACGCCTCAGCTCCGCTCCACCCGGGGCCCACCCAGGCCTCTCCCAGCACACAGCCCAGGGGAAGCAAGGCCTCCTCGCTCACAGCGCCGCGTCTACGCCCCACCTTGTATTTCCACTTGGCCTCTGACTTGCTCTTAGTTTGCTCTCGAATCTCCAGCCTCTCCACGTCGTTCTGTGCACTGACCACCTCCTTGCTGGGCACACTGAGGACACTCTTGGTGGCCTAGAAAATAGCAGCTGTGTCTCAGTGGACACGAGAGAGCAGCAAGACACCTCAGGCACCACGCAAAGGCGCGTGCCCAGGCAGAGCTCCTGCCACCCTGCGGCGGCTTCACTGTCCCCTGCCTGGCCTACACACCCCGTCCACCCGCCCTCGCAGCCCCAGGGCTGCGGGGACTGTGATACCAGCCCCAGTTGGTGCTGATTTCCTGGGTCAGGGGAAGAGCTTCACATGCGCTGGGCGCCCGCCTCCGGGGCTCTGGCTGCACTGGGGAGCCTCAACCACCGCCAGACAGCCCGCTCCCAGCCGCACTCCTGACACTGCTGCTCCGCACGGCCCCGCACTTGGGGCCCAGCACCACTGCATGCCCCGCACCTCCAATCCGAGGACAAGGATGCATATCCCGACCATCAGCCCGCCTCTCACCTTGCCTTTCTTGGGCGGCTCCATCTTGGTCAGCGCCTCCTTGGTGTGAGCCTCCAGCAGGTCGAGGTTGGGGATGGGGGAGGCGGCACCCCGGTACTTCTTCCCTTTCTTCTTGCTCCCATCCTTGAGCTTCAGCGATTTGGGGGGCTTGGGAGGCTTCGGGGGCTTGAGAGGCTTGGGGGCTTTGGATGGCTTGGGCATCTTCATGGTTTTGGGAGTCTTTTTTTTGGACACTTTCTCCAGGAAGGACCGAGGAGGGCTGGCCTCAATGGGGGACGGGGGCTCCTCCTTGTCACGGTCCCCAAAGCAGACCTCATCAGAGGACACGGCTGCAGTCATGTCCGACCGGGCGGCCTTGGAGGCGTTCTGGGGGGGACAGAGAGCAGAGCCCCTCACAGTGACACCGTGCCCTCTCACCCGGCGGAGCCGGGCCCTGCCCTCACCCTGTGACCCTGAGCCCATTCACGTCTGGGATAGCCAGACAGCCCACGCTGCCTGACTTGACACACCCCTGCCCTAATTGGGTGACGCTCAGGTCTGTCTACATACACACGACACTCATCTACTCACACCACGGGACTCACCTGACCCGCACCAAAGCACCCGGTGAAGGGCAGCATCACGCAACGACCCACTCTTCCGCCACCGCTGGGCCCTCAAGATGGGGACTTCAACCCCCCACTGGGCAGCACAGGGCCTGACACTGCCCATTCCCCCTCACCCCACCTCACCCTCACCCTCACCCTCACCCTCACCCCGCCTCACCCTCACTGCCCATCTCTCACTCCATGTGCACACTCCCCAGATGCCAGAGTCTAGCCACCAGGACCTAGGACACCCCACACCACCCCCCACGATGGGGGACAGGACCCTCCCCAAGAGGACATGGGCCTCTGTCAGGGCTCCGCCTACCTCACTGAGCCGGATCTCTTTGGCCAGGTCCTTGATGAGCTGCGAGGGTTTGAAGTGCTCTGGGAGCTCATCCTCATGCTCTGCCAATGCCTGCGGCAGGGCACACATGGGTCAGCACAGAGGGGTCAGCACACATGGTCAGCACACAGGGGCCAACACACAGGGCTCAGCACACAGGGATCAGTATGCAGGGGTCAGGGGTCAGTATGCAGGGGTCAGTACATATGGATCAGCACACAGGCTCAGCACAGAGGGGTCAGCACACACGGTCAGCACACAGGGCCAGCACACAGAGTCAGCACACAGGGATCAGTACGCAAGGGTCAGTACACATGGATCAGCACACAGGGTCAGCACACAGGGGTCAGCACACAGGGGTCAGCACACAGGGGCCAGCACACAGGGTCAACACACAGGGATCAGTACGCAGGGGTCAGTACGCATGGGTCAGTACACATGGATCAGCACGAAGGGTCAGCACACAGGAACTGGCTATGCAGTGAGGCTGGGACTGGACACCGCCGCCTTCCGGGCACACCCTGGGGCTCAGCAGGCCGGTCTCTGTCCCCTCGGTCTCTGTCCCCTCTCAGGCCATCTGGGGAAGCCCCTCCCACCACCTGATGGAAGTGGCCACAAGGGGCCCAGGGCGCTATACTGACCCCATTCATGAGATGCCCCCATTGCGGAGGGCCTGCAGTCACAGGGCAGTGGGCAGTGGGCAGTGAGCAGTGAGGTGTGGCCATGAGGGGGAGAGAAGCTCACGGCCCCCAGCCCCACACGCCCAGCCCCCTGCCCAGCCGCCAGGGCACAGGCTGCGTGCTAGAGTACTCCTGTCCCCCTGTCCCTGCCCTGTTCAGGGTCTGCCCCCACCACATCCCTACCTGCTTCTTTGTCCATGACCTGAAAGCACCATTGAGGATCTTAGCTCCTTGGACCAGGTGAGGGGGCAGCTGCTTCCCAGACTTGTGGGAGCCTGGTGGGGGGAGAGAGTCAGGCGGGAGCCCCCCCCATGCCACCCGCCCAACTGCCAACAGTCCCTGTTGGAACCCAGGGGGCCCGTCTGCCCAACTCAACCCCTGTGCTGGCAGTTGATCACCCCCAACACAGCTCAGGCCCTCAGTGGAGACCACAGCCACAGCCACATGAGGCGCCCCGTGCTGCCAATGCCGCCCTCACCACCCTGCGTGGTGAAGGGGCAACAGACACACCCCACAGCACCCCGATGCTGCTCCTAGGGGTGCCCTCCAAAGAAGGGATGTGCCCCCTGGCCCCCAACTCTGAGCCACCAGGCAGCGGAGGTCTTCCCAGCAGGGCCAGGGCAAAAGCACGCGACTGTCCCTAGATGTGGGTATTGTTCTGCCACACTGACCACACTCTGACACCCCCCCCACCCAAGGTTCTGGGGATGGGCAGGCCCAGGGCACAGGAGAACTGTCGCTAAAACCCGAGCTGAGGGGAGGACCGTGGTCAGCACCCACCATGACCCCACGGGGAGTCCACAGCCCCCACCACCCACAGGGCCCGGCCACCCCGGCCCCCGCCCCTGGGCACCCACCTTTGAAGGCCTCCAGGAGGTGCTTCCCCATGTACCAGCAGGCAGTCTCGAAGTTGGGGAACTGCGTCAGGCTGCCCAGCTTCAGCCTCCTCTCCACTTCATACGCTCTGCAAGCCGGGGCGAGAGCTGCTGGGGGCACTGAGACCCCGCGGCCGGGCCCACGCCCAGTCACACCCCCCACCAGGGACAGGCCCCGCCACACTGACTCACATGCACACACACACACACTGACTCACACACACACACTCATACATACACACAGACACACACACAAACACACACATATACTCACACACACACTCACACAAACACGCTCACACAAACACACACATACACTCACACTCACACAAATACACACACACATGCATACACACATACACACTCACACACATACAACACAGACACACACATACACACACACACACTCACACATACACTCATACACACACTCACACAAATACACACTCACACACATGCATACACTCACATACATGCATACACTCACACACTCCCACATACGCATATTCACATAGATACACACTCACGCACACACATTCACACACACTCACACTCATTCACACACACACTCACACTCACACTCACAGTCACACACACACACACACACACACACACACACACACCAGGGCCCTGCGGAGGGTCAGCTCACTGTCCAAGGAGAGGCAGTGGCCCTTGGCCCCAGGAGCCCTGGGAACTGCCCAGTGTCTGGGCCTTTGGGGGCCCTGGGCAGGGCTCAGCCACCTCCTAGACCTGGGTGACCCTGCGGAGCTCTGCAGAGGGGGGACAGCCTGGCCCTACCTCATCTGCATCTCCACACTCAGGCTGTGCAGGAAGTGTCCCGCGAAGGCCAGGCAGTCCACGGGCGTGAGCGTGGCGTAGATCCAGCCTGTGGAGGGGCCGGCGCCTTCACATGCAGCTCTGGGCCACCCCAGCCCCACTCAGGCCACAGCCAGCTTGCAGCATCCTGGCCACGTGGCTGACTCCCAGGACACCGGGAAACAACTGGGGCCCGCCACCCACTTTCACAGGACAAGCGGCAGCCCCCAGACCAGGGCACCTGACTGAGCACCACAGCCCTGCATGGAGCTACAGGGAAACCGAGGCCTGGCCCTGACTCGGGACCCCAGTGGTCAGAGGCACAATGCCCTCATCCCTCTCTGTCCCCCCCAAGAGGACACACTGCAGGGAGCACCACGGCCTGAGAGGCCGCCAGCCCCGCCCGGCAAACCCTGAGTGCCACGGGCTGTGCAGACATTGAGGAAGGACCAGGGCACGTCCTGCTGGGGGGGTGGGCACAGGAAGGGGGGACGCGGTCAGCGGGATGACGGGGGCCCTGGCTTGTGTGTGGGATGGGGCGTGAGCAGAACTCGACTGAGGGTCCTGAGCCCTGTGGTGACACAGCGGGGGAGAGGGCACGTACCCGAGGGGATGAAGAGCGTCTGGCCCTGCTTGAGGGTGCACTTGTAGCACCTGTCCACCTGGTCGGCGAAGAACATCTCGCTGTGGTTGGAGGCCGACTGCCAGCGCTCGTACAGGGAGATGTTGGCGGAGGCCGGCTTGATGAGATAGAAAATCTTCTCCCCCTGCCAACAAAAGGCCATTGCAGAGCCCACAGCGGACAGGCGCGGGGCCCCGGGGAGGCTGTGAGGCCACTGTGGGGGTTCCAGGGTGAGCTGCTGAGGGGCGAGGTGAGCCCAGGTGCCTGAGGACACGGGGGGCGGGGGGACACTGTGTGCAGGAGTGTGAGGACCCTGCTGATGACGTCTCTGCCCCCAGCATTGCTCCTACAATGCTGTGCTGTGGGGGCCAGAGAGGCAGCACCGGAGCAAGGCACGTGCCTGACACACGGCTGACCACGGGGCCATCCCTGGCACCACACGGGGTCCCCTGCCCAGCTAGGAGTGAGCCCTGAGTACTGCTAGATGTGGCCCCCCAAAAGAGAAACAACAAAGACAACAGAATGTTGGGGCCACATGGTCATTCCAATGCAGTGGTCTTGGAATTAGGAGGGTTATAGGCCTACGGGGGACAGAGGGGTCAATCCTAGTGCCCACCCCCCCTCAAGGGACACAGGAAACCCTCACAATGGGCCAAGGGGCTGGGGCGCCCCCCAGGGGTGCAGCCGAGTGGAGCAGCGGCTTGGACTGCAGTGGGGGGGTGAGGGGTGGGAGGTCCCGCTGGGCAGCTACAAGGTGCTACAAGGCCCCAGGCCTCCTTGTGGGCGGTTTAAGTGTCACTTCCCATACCTGCCCCACGGGTGCCCTGCCCCCGCCCCGCTCCCCAGCGGGTCTTCCCCTGCACCCCTGTCCCCTGCGCCCAGCTGCGCCCAGAGGGCAGGACCATACCTTGAGCACGTGGTACCAGGCGGAGGCGCCCCCTGAGTCGATGTGGAAGTCAGTGTAGCTGTCCTTCACGCAGATGAGGCAATACTTGGTCACCTTGGGCTTGGCCAGCAGCGCATCGTCCGGCCAGTAGTTTTCCACCCAGGACAGTTTCTTCACGATGTCGGGGGGCTCCACAAAGCTAGACATTCTGGGGGCGGAAGCGAGGTCAAGCAAGCGAGGTCAGCGGCCGCCTGTGCCCTGGGCAGGAGAGGCGGTTCCACGCTCCGTCCTGCCCCACGGACACTGGGCATGGCGCCCATCAGACCAGCGAACAACAGGAGATGGTTCCAGGGGACAGAGTGGTCCCAGCACTGGGGCGGGGGCAGCTAAGCTGGGCTGCGAGGAGGCTCCCAGTGAGGCACAGCTCAGCGCGGGGGGCCGGTGCCCCCTCCCCATGCATGCGTGTGCACTGTCCACCTGCTAGCTCATGTCCAGGGGACACTGTGGGGCACTGGAGGCCACGCTTCAAGCAGCAGCAGGTGAGCAGGGATATCCCCCCACCCCCACCCCAATGCTGGGCTCTGTCCCCCTGCCCCGTGGAACCCTCACGTCTCCCCGGCCCCTTTGGCAAGGCTGCGTCTGCGCCCCCGGCCAGAAGCCCAGGCCAGGCCTGCATGCGCCCACCTCCGTCTCTGCCTGTCCCAAACCGGCACCCCAGACACCTCGCCAACCTGTCAAGGCCTCTTGCTCCGTCCTGCCCCACGGACACTGGGCATGGCGCCCATCAGACCAGCGAACAACAGGAGATGGTTCCAGGGGACAGAGTGGTCCCAGCACTGGGGCGGGGGCAGCTAAGCTGGGCTGCGAGGAGGCTCCCAGTGAGGCACCCTGTCAAACCCTCCTGGTCCAGTGAGAACCCTGCCCAGAAGACAGCGCCTCAGCCCACCACACTCCACCTAGCACCACGCTCTGCAGAGGGCTAGGCTGAGCCCCCTTCAGAAGACCCCTGACAGCAGGCGTCTGCATCAGGCCTGCTCAGGGCCGCAGTGGCCACTGAGCACAGCCCAGCACAGGCCATGGGGAGAAAGCAAAGGCAGATGCTGCAGGACAGGTCCCGGCACACCTGGGCCATGGGCAGCGGCCGTGAGTGCCACCTCACCCACCACTGTCCTGAACTGGCCAGCAAGGGCACAGTCATAGGAGGCCCAGGTGGGGGTGCCCCTCTCTGCAGGGAGCCCTCAAAGCAGGTCAGCCCATCACGGCCAAGCAGTGACTCAAGGAGGCCTTTATCACCCCCCACCTCTCTCTCTCTCTCTCTCTCTCTCTCTCTCTCTCTCTCTCTCTCTCTCTCTCTCTCTCACACACACACACACACACACACACACACACACACACACACACACACGTCAGTCTTGGAGCAGTGCTTTCTTGAGCACGCACGGAAGGTGGCTTTGTCCGGAGAACAAAAGGCTCCTATTCCCCTTTGCTTTGCTGTCTGGAAGCTCAAACAAGCCCAACACCCAGTTCCTTTGCCTTGTTCTGGCTCCCCACAGCCCCTATCTCCCTCTCACTGTGATCTCCAACTGGCCTTCGTTTTCCCACTTGCCCTTTTGCGTACAGGCTGCCACGTTGTCCCGAGAGCGTTCCAGAAGCAGGTGAAAGGGAAGTGACCCAAGGATGAAGTCATTCCTAAGCTAGGCCACCATCATCCTTGCCAGGAGCAGGCACCTGGCCTCCCCGGCATCAGCCACAGAGCAGGTGGCTGGCAGAGGGGGCAGGGGGCTGGAGTGGTTGACCAGGGTCAAGCAGGTGTGTCTGGGGACAGAGTTGTGGGCACTGGAAGCAAAGCCACACATACCCGACCTCTGACACCACAGCAATGTGGGATTCAGTGGGCAGCAGGGGTCCCCTGAAACAGCAGCAGGGGGAAGGGGCTCTGAGTTCCGGGTTCCAGTGGGGAGAGCAAAAGGCATATCCGCTTCTGTGGCACAACACATGTGCTAAAGGTGTGTGTGAGTGCAGGCAGGTGTGTGAGTGCATGCAGGTAGGCATGAGTGTATGCAGGTGTGTGTGAGTGCATGCAGGTGTGAGTGAATGAGAGCGTGTGAGAGTGAATGCAGGTGCGTGAGTACATGCAGGTATGTGTGACTGAGTGCAGGTGTGAGTATATACAGGCGTGTATAAGTGCATGCAGGTGTGTGTGATGCATACAGATGTGAGTTCATGCAGGTGTGTGAGTGCTTGCAGGTGCGTGCAAGTGCTGCTGGTGCGTGAGTCCTGCAGGTGTGTGAGTGCTACACAGGCGTGTGAGTACATGCAGGTGTGTGAGTGCATGCAGGTATGTGAGTGCATACAGATGTGTGAGTGCATACAGGTGTGTGAGTGCATACAGATGTGTGAGTGCATACAGGTGTGTATGAGTACATGCAGGTGTATGTGAGTGCTGCAGGTGTGCGAGTACATGCAGGTGTGAGTGCATGCAGGTATGTGAGTGCATGCAGGTGTGTGATGCATACAGATGTGAGTGCATGCAGGTATGTGAGTGCTTGCAGGTGCATGAGGGTGCTGCAGATGTGTTAGTGTTACAGGTATGTGAGTGTATGCAGGTGTGTGTGAGTGTATGCAGGTGCATGAGTGCATGCAGGTGCATGAATGCATACAGGTGTGTGAGTGCATGCAGGTGTGTGAATGCATGCAGGTGTGTGAGTAAATGCAGATATGTGTGAGTACAAACAGGTGTGTGAGTACATACAGGTGTGTGAGTGGATACAGGTGTGTGAGTGTATATGTGTATCTCTATTAGCAGGTCCCCCAGGCCAATGGGAAGAAGCAATTTCCTCCTGACACCACAGGTTCTTGCTGGGGGGCAGGATGGGGCAGGTCAGGGAGATTCACTTTCTTCTGCTCCTGCATTTCTGTCGAAATTATTCCCCTGTCACAGCCGTAAGAGCAACAGCAACAGAAGGCCAGGTGAAGCACTCAGCACACCCACGTCCTTCTCCATGAGCTTCTCGGCAGTCGGGGAGCCATGGGGAGGTGGGGGACAGGGAGGCCCCCACCGCAATGGCCCGCTCACCTGGTGTCTGAGAACTCGAGGTTGGTGAGGTTCAGGACCCGTTTGCGGTTGGTGCTGTAGTAATAGTCCACAAACTCCTTCAGCTTCATCTTGCAGTCCTTCTGCTTGGTGACATCCGTCACGTCCACGCTCCGCTCAGGGCCTGGAGGGGCCGGGAGAAGGTGAGCACGGGGGAGAACAGCCCCTCGGCCGGGGCCACACACACACACACACACACACACACACACACACACACACACACCCCAGAGCTCCCCTGAGATGTGGGAGACTGGGCAGGGCAGGGCTGGGCAGCATCTACACACACACACACACACACACACACACACACACCCCGGAGCTCCCCTGAGATGTGGGAGACTGGGCAGGGCAGGGCTGGGCAGCATCTAGCCCCCTGGACTGGCCCCCAGCCCTTGCCAGGCCAGCACAAGATCGCAGTGCCACGAGGGGGCAGAGTCACTGGGCTCAGCTCACCCAGTGACAGCACAGGTTGCCCAGGGCAACAGGGAATTCTTGTAAACAACAGACACTTCTCCGAGCACGCATGTCCCGAACGGTGTACAAGACACACACTTAGGTAGCTCCGGTTTGGTCTTTAAAATTCACTTCTGAGCTCTTTATTGAATTTAAGAATACAATGAGAATTACAGACCCGCACTCTCCACTTTACCCATCCATGGTGGGGTCAGAGCTCGGGCTCTTGGGCAGGGGTGGGGGGTGGGGGGGAACTGCCTTCCTGGCTTCACACTGCTCCTGCCTTGCTGAGCTTCCACACTTTTTTTTTTAATGCATCATATTGAAGGCCAGTCCCCAAGACCCCCCACATCCGCACAGGAGGCCCTTGCCTCCTACTCCCCAACAATCTGGGATTCTGGTTTTGTACTCCAGTCCCCCAAGTTTGTTATCGGATGATAGGATCAGCTCCCTTGTTTTGGTTCCGTGTGCGCCACAGATGAGTGAGCTGGCCGGCCTTCTCCCTCCACTCGGGCCAGGCCGCCGTCCTACTCCATCCTGGTGGCCGTGAACGGCTCCATCTGATCTTGGCAGTGTCGCGCTGTGTGCATCGACACCACAGCTTCTTTATTGGTTCGTCTGCTGGTGACGCTTAAGTCACCACCACTTCCTGGCCACTAGAATCGCACCGCACTGTACAGGGGTATGCAAACCTCTTTTCAGATTCATAGTTTTGTGTCGGGGGGATGGAGGGCCAGAAGTGGAATTGCTGGATCAGAAGGAAGCTCTAGCTTCGGTCTGGTGAGAATCTCTAATCTGTTTTCCATTGACTGAGCCAGGTGACTCTGGCACCAGCAGGGAGTGAGGGTCCCTCCGCAGCTGTGCCCCCCAGCAGGGAGTGAGGGTCCCTCTGCAGCTGTGCCCCCCAGCACTGGCTGCCTCCCGCGGCTTCCCTGTCTGCCATTCTCACGGGTGTGCGCTTATAGCTCCGTTTTATTTCGATTTGCGTTTCCCTAATAAGTGACGATGAACACTCTTCAGTGCTTACTGGCCTCTGTCTGTCCCCTTCCCGGTGTGTCTGTTCATTTCCTGGCCCCATTCTGGATCGGTTCATCGGTTTCTCCGTTGCGGAGCCGGACACTCACTTGGTTTTTGGTTTTCGTTTTAAAATCAAGGGACCAAGGGTGTGGTTCCAGGGGTGGAACAACTGCCTTGGCAAGGGAGGATACTGGGGTTCACTCCCTGCATCCCATCACCCCAAAGCACCGATGGTGGCTCCCAATACTAGGGTATGGCCCCCAAACAACATATACGTTATGGAAGTAAACAGCCAAAGAGCTGCCTTTCCAGAAGACCACCCATTATTGGGAAACAGCACTGACAGGCAGTGGGAGAGCGTCTGTCTAGTGACATGGAGAATCCAGCACAGCAGGGGAGGGAGGAGCACTCAGGAGACACACGGAGATAGAGGGAGGAGGGGCAGGGACAGAGGGAGGAGGGGCAGGGACAGAGGGGGGAGGGGCAGGGAGAGGGGGAGAAGGGGCAGAGACAGAGGGAGGAGGGGCAGGGACAGAGGGGGGAGGGGCAGGGAGAGAGGGAGAAGGGGCAGAGACAGAGGGAGGAGGGGAAGGGACAGAGGAAAGAGGGGCAGAGACAGGTGGGAGGGGCAGCGATAGAGGGAGGAGAGGAGGGACAGAGGGAGGAGGAGGGACAGGGACAGAGGGAGGAGGGCAGAGACAGAGGTGGGAGGGGCAGAGACAGAGGGAGGAGGGGCAGGGACAGAGGGAGGAGAGAAGGGACAGAGGGAGGAGGGCAGAGACAAAGGTGGGAGGGGCAGAGACAGAGGGAGGAGGGGCAGGGACGGTAAGGGGGGCAGGGGGGAGGGGCAGGGACAGAGAGGGGAGGGGCTGCAGCGATCCACACAGTCCTCCTCCGTGTGCCCTCACATGCTAGGCGGGGCAGGAGGGTCTTTCTGAGGACAGATGAGGCTGGAGCTGGACCTGCGACCGACAGTGGAGGGGGCGGGCACCCCTAGCCCAGTGGGGACCACCACAGCTACAGGGGGATCCCTGAACGAGCCTCTGCCCACAGGAGAAGCACTGCAGGGGCCAAGGAGCCTGGGGGACAACAGTGACCAAATCCCAGATATGAGGTTGCCCCAAAGCCCCACTGTGGGGAACTCCCAGTGCCATGGACCCCCTTTCTCTGAATGCTCTTGAGTCTGACACCCCAGGAGCACTCAGCTGACAGCACCCACCCAGGGGCACTCAGCAGGGAGCACTAAGCTGGGAACACTCAGATAAGGGCACTCAGAATGGAGCACTCAGACAAGGGCACTAAGAGGGAACACTCAACTGGGAGCACTCATCTGGGAACATTCAGTCAAGGGTGCCCAACGGGGAGCACTCAGTCAGGAGCACTCAGAAGGGAGCACTCAGAAGGGAGCACTCAGACAAGGACACTCAATGAGGAGCACTCATCAGGGAGCACTGAGCAGGAAAGTGATGGAATCAGGGACTCAGGAGGCTGCCCAGACAGTCCCCGGTGGGGCAGCTGCATAACTGCATCACTGTGGGGGGAGGGGCAGGGGTCATCGTGGGGCGTGTCTCAGGGGGAGCTAAGTTTCAGCTGTCTGCAGGGTCAGGATGCGGCCAGGTCCTGGGGGCCAGTGGTGGGGAGGCGTGCAGGGACAGGAGGAACAGGGGTCAGCGGCTCCCGGGATGGCCCGAGATGGCTCTTACCCACGTAGTTCTCCACATCGCTGACGTAGAAGGTGGGGGCCGGCACGGCCAGGCCCAGCCCATCTTTCTTGGGGACAAGGATGGGCTCGGTGAAGCCGTGCTCCTCCATGTAGCCCAGGGTCAGCTGACTGCCCGGCACCCGGGCCACCACGTCCTCGGCACTGAGGAGGAGAGAGGGGTCACATGTCACATCCGGGCGCAAGCCAGGCTCCCGCCCACCCTCCCTCCCACGCCTCTAGAGCAGAAGCAGCAGAGGGTGGATGCACCATGTGTCGCAGACGTGGCTGCCCAGTGGTCCAGGCCCTGGCCAGGACACCCACTGGGCTGCGTCCTGCACTCAGGGTCAGAGCCGGCTCCCAGGGGCAGCTCGGCTCAGCCTCTGTGAGAAGCACACAGGGGACAGGGTAGGCATGGGCGTGGGTGCCTATGAGTGCCTACATGAGCGGGATGTCTTCAAGGGAGGTTTGGTCCCGTCCCGGCCTCAGGGACCACTGACTGTGGCGCCAAGTTTCCATATTTGATATAAAAATCTGCCGCTTTTAAACGATGATGTGACAAGGCCCTGGCAGGAAAGTGATGAACAAAACCCGACTGCTGAACAAAACCTTCCCAGGCACAGAGACAGCCATACCCCGGGGTGCCTGGGGACGTCCGTGTGGGAGGGTCAGGGAGTAGGAGTGGGCATGGCAGAGTGGGACCCGTCAGCGGACATGCTGGTGGTCCAGCAGGTGAAGAGCTGGAGACGAGACAGGAGACAAGAGACAGCGGGGAGTGGTCAGGAGGAGGGAGGACTCTGAGGGGGGCAGGAGCGTGGCCAGCAGGGGGGCCGGAAGGGGGAGAGGAGGCGAGCTCTGCATCGCCATTTGGGGGGGGAATTCTTGCTCAGAGCAAAAGGGGGTCACCCACACGCTCACCCAGAAGCCAGTAAGGAAAGGCCTGCAGTGCCCATCCAGAGGGGCCCTGGCTGGCATCAGGAAACAGACGGAGTAAGTGAGGGTGCAGGGGAGGTGGGTCACTGCCGTGTGCAACAGGGCTGGGAGCAGGCCAGGGAGTCCCTAGACCCCCACTTCATGAGGTTCCTGCACCAGGCCTCCGGGAAACCATCCTGAGGAACACTCGGGAACGCAGCCAAGGCCAGCCTGGGGAGGGGGTGTCTCACACTAAGGGGCGAACACAGGGATGGGGGCGGGGGACTCGAAGAACACGCCAGAATCACCCAAAGGACACACTGAGACCACTGTATTGAACGCAACCAGTGGGAGAACAAGAAGGATTGGCAGAGATCGGGCAGGAAATATTGAAGAGCAACTTAAAGGAAATCCTGGAAGTCAAACTACAAAGACCAAAATGCTCCACAGTTCAGTGGCTTAGAAGACTGGGGTCGGGGAGAGAGTGCAGGGGTGAGGCGCTTGCCTTGCACCTGAACAGCCTGGGTTTACCCCAGCACTGCACACAATCTCCTGAACACTGCCAGGAGGGATTCCAGAGCACAGAGCCAGGAACAGTCCCTGAGAACTACTGGGAGTGCCCCCGCCCTCCCTAAAAGGAGCTGGCTGAAAAAAAAAAAAAACTGGTAAATTTACTAAAAGATTTGAATACAAAATACATAGGATGAGGGAGAAGGGTAATTACAAGAGAAAATGATACACTGCCCAGGACACTCATCAAATTCAAGTTGCTTACTGAGTCCAAAGCAGGTCAAACAAATACAAATGCACATCTATGGTCATTTAGTCACCTGTGTGCCTTAAAGAAAGGACACTCCTAAAAGTTTTCAGAGGAAAAATACATTATTTTAAAAAAAACAATAAACACACCCAGCCACGAGATTGACAGTAGGTATCTTACCCACAACAAGAGATCTCAAAAGGCAATAAAACAATACCTTGAAAGAGAACAAGAAAAATAACTTTCATCTCAGAATTTTAGATCCAGCTCAGAAAATTAGAATCAGGGTCAGAGAGATAGTACAGCAGGTAGGACATTTGTCAGGGATTGAACCCAGGTCAACCACATGCCAGGGTAGAGCCAGGAGTAAGCCCTGAAGCCACCCAAAAGCCAAAGAAAGAAAGAAAAGAAAAGAAAATTAAAATCACAAGGGGCTGGAGCAATAGCACGGCGGGTAGGGCGTTTGCCTTGCATGCGGTTGACCTGGATCTGATTCCAGCATCTCATGTGGTCCCCTGAGCACCGCCAGGAGTAATTCCTGAGTGCAGAGCCAGAAGTAACCCCTGAGCATCGCCAGATGTGACCCAAAAGCAAAAAAAAAAAGTAAAAAATTTTAATTTTTTTTTAAAAAATCACAAACAAGGCTGAAATAGAAAAAGAAGCACTGATCTGAAGATGTGTCTGCCCGCCATGTTGGCCACCAAACTATAGTGGACAGTAGCCAAGTCAGAAACTGGTTGCGTCCAGGTGAGTGAACACAGGAGCAGTGGTGATGAACGCTCTGGGAGAGAAAAAAAAAATGAGGTCTGAGATCCTGCCCCTGCAGGAATGTGGACAAACCAAGAGGTGTTGTGCTACATAAAACACCAGATGAAGATAAACTACATGTATCTTTCCCTGTTTATAATAAAGAAACAAACAAAGGAAACAAAAGAACAGCAGAGGAGGAGTTTAGTGGTGATGGCTGGAAAGTGCTGGAGCAGAGCAACACGCTGCTCTACAGGTCTGACACCCGAAGCCGCTGCAATGTTACAAAAACGAGGATGCTTCGGTACAAGAAGAATCAGGATGAGGCGGGAACATGTTCAGATGCACAGAATGTTCTTACAGCCTTTCCTGAAAGAACTACTGCAGGGCATCACTCAACACCGAAAAAGCAACCAAGAAGGACTGAAAAAAAATCCCCATCGAAATGACGGTTTGCTTCTTTGCAGAGACTGACAAGCTGAGTTTTGAGGCTGAATGGAAAGGTAAGGCACCCAGGCCACAAAAATTGCTTTTCAAGAGAAGACTCGAGGGCCAGAGAGACAGCACCCCAGGGAAGGCTCCACTCGCCTCACATACAGCTGAGCGGGTTCAATTCCCGGCACAGCACACCCTGACCACCGCCAGGAGAGATCCCCGCGCACAGGACTAAACCCTGAACACTGCCAGCTGTGGCCCCAAAACTAAATAAACTTAAACATGCAGCAAAGACTAGAAACTACAAGAACTGATACTAAGATTCGCAAGTACAAGATCAACACACAAAAATCAATTTTATTCCAGTTACAGAAGCAGTGGACAATTTGCAAATGACCTGAAAAAAAAATCCCATTCACCCAAATATAAAAAACAGAATTAATGGCCTAGGGATAAATCTAATAAACAGGAAAGCAAAACTTACACTTAAAAAACTATATAATACTGTTGTGAGGAAACTTCATTTGAGTCACCAACAACTGCAGATGCAGAAATTATGGAGGGAAAATGAGAAAAATACGAGACACGGGTGAGTCTGGGAGCCCGTCCAGGGAGAGTCACAGAGGGACTTCCCTCCATGGACCCATGGACCCGCGCTCACCCCAGGTCAAGGGGAGGATCACTGATGCTCTGAGGTGTCGATTGCATTAGACACAGAAGGATCGGCAACTCACTAAGGTTCATGGGAAACACTGCAATCCATCCTGCTGCAGAAACAAAAGCTCCTGGATGGCCTTCCGAGCAGGACAGCTAATCCCGCCTTCTGGCAGAGGGCTCAGGCCCGCATGCAGAGAGACCAGGGCTATCTATGGCAGCCGGAGGGACAGATGAGCAAATGGCTGCTCTGTGTTTTATAAGTGCTGCCACTGTTGTGCACTCGGTATGGGCTGCTGCCTCTGCTCACCTTGGGGAAGTTCATCATCCTTCTGGAAAGACTCAAAGACTCTCTTTTCCAGAGTCAAGGTGATAGTACAGCAGGTAAGAAACTTGCCTTGCACCTGGCTGAGTCAGGTTCGATCCCTGGCACCCCAGAGAGTCTCCCAAGCTCCACCAAGGGTGATCCCTGAGTGCAGAGCCATGAGTAAGCCCTGAGCACCAGTGGGTGTGCCAAAAAGAGTCTCTTTTCCTTTCAGACTTCTGTACTTGTGTCCAGATCGATACAGTAGAAATGAGCTTCTGTGGTATTTCTTTTTTTTTTCTTTTTGGCTCATACCCAGCGATGCTCAGGGGTCACTCCTGGCTCTGCACTCAGGAATCACTCCTGGCAGTGCTTGGGGGACCATGTGGGATGCCGGGGATTGAACCAAACACCCTACCCGCTGTGCTATAGCTCCGGCCCCTTGTGTGGCATTTCTGAGCTTGCTGAGTGCTTCAGTAAAGTGTGTATTATTAATGAGGACGCAAAAGGGTAAGAAATTTAAGGAATGGACAAGAATATCTTGTTCTTTCCTCTAATACCACACCAGTAGGACAGATCTGTCTTCAACAGCATAGGGGATGTACCATGCATATACACACACACACACACACACACACACACAGAGGGAGAGAGAGACAGAGACAGAGACAGAGAGAGAGATGGAGAGAGACAGAGAGAGAGAGGGAGAGGGAGAGAGAGAGAGACTTTCTTCATTTGATGGTCTTCACACCTAGGACAGGCACTTTAAAAGTTGGAGGAAAATGAGGGCCCGCACCTGCCTGGTAAGCAGGAGACCAAGGATTCACCCCTGGCACTAAGCACTTTCCTGTCAGCTACACGACTGTGCACTGTCCTGGCCTCCACACCAGCGGTGTCAACAGAGGAAACGGAAGAGGGAGGCATACAGAATAAGAATAGCAACATGTTCAGGGCCGTTTTCTTAATGAAGCAACATCTCATTGTTTAATTTACAATATAAACTTTGCATCCAAGATGACATGTTTATAATAGTCCAGGCAACAGGGTTCTAATGGTTAACAGTTATAACACTGATGTACAGGTGCTGCAGCCCACCACAAAGTGCCCAGGACTATCCACCACTGTCCCTATGTTACATCTGGTCCCATTTTCATTCCCCTATTGCTTGTTCATTGGAGTTTTGTAACCCAAGGCCAAGGGTTGGTCTCCGTTCCATATGCTCTCTTCCCTCCTTGTGTCTCTATACCACAGGTGAGACCCATCACCCAATCTGTCCTTCTCCCTCTCACTTATTCCCCTCAGCATGAAGCCCTCCAGGTCCATCCAAGTTGCAGTGAACTGCATGATTTCAAGATAACACTGTTAATCTACTTATGAATAGGCATTAGGTAAAACAGTATCTGGGGGCAAGAGAGATAGCACAGTGATGAGGTGCTTGCCTTGTATGCAGCCAAGTCAGGTGTGATCTCTGGAACCCCCTATGGTCCTCCCAGTACTGCAGGAAGGATCCCTGAGTGCAGAGTCAGAAATAAGCCCTAAGCACCAGCAGATTTGACCCCCAAACAAACAAAAATAGAATATCTTTCCCCACAGCATTAAAATTAACCAGTCAAGCCTAATCAGTGGCTGAATAAATAGCAGTACTCCTACATAAAAAAAAAAGATTTTTAAACCAAGGCTTTATATAAATGAAAAATAATGTTAAGAGAAAGATGGAAAATGTCTTTCTTTTTAAAAATACCTAATTGAACCAGAGTGATATTAAATAGTGCGAAAAAATTTGGCTGCCTTGCAGGCAGTTAACGTGGGTTTCATACCCAGCATCCCATGAGCACTGCCAGGAGTGATTCCTGAACATTGCTAGGTGTGACCCGAAAACCAGAAAAAAAAAAAAAAAGGTAAAGATATGCCCAACCATTTTTTTAATATATTAAAAATAAATAAATAAATAATAAATAAAATTACCCAGTCAAGAAAGTGGGGAAATACCTATTCATTTGCCACTTGTGCATTATTAATAAAATTACAAGATTTAAATGATTAAAAAAATACATTGAGTGAAAATTGAAAAGATCTCAATAGGTGAGAAAACATTCCATATTGTGGACTGGGAGATTTGATTAATAGTGTTAACAAGACAATGTCCAGGCATCAGTTCTTCTGGTCTAAAGATTTCATACATTCCTTGAAAGAGTCCCAGTGACTGCTGTGCAGATATTAACAAGATAAGCTTGAAAAAGCCGAGAGGTGAAGACTCCTGTCTTGATTTCGGAATGAACTGCAAATTTAGTGATCAGCACGGTGAGGGATGAGCTTGCATTTAAATCAAGTTCAGTGGAAGAGAACTGAGAGTCCAAAGCAAGTGCTTTGGACATCTAGGGCTAAGTGATTTCAACAAAGGTGCAAAGACCATGTAACAGCAAAATTAATTTCCTTTTCAAGTAGAGATGCTGGACAAATGTATGGTCTAAAATGTCCCAGAAAGGAAGTGAAGGAACTGAAGAGATAGTGCGGGCATTAAGGCACAGGCCTTGCATACAGCTGACCCTGGTTTTATCCCCGGCACCTCAGAGTCCTCTGAACATTGCTGGGTGCAGTCTCTGAGCACCACACAGTGGCCCATATCACACAATCCCCTTAGGGCCCCAAAGCACCCACTGCTCCGGGCCAACACTAGTCCACTAGTCTGACTGGCCAAGAATGGCCGGAAGGACCCAAGGCCCTCCTGAGAACCCCTATTGGGGAGTCCCCTGAAAAAGGAAATGAGTTCCTTACCTCATACTAGACACAAAAATTAAGTAAGAATGCCAGGTCATAGGAACTGAAATTCTATAAAATTCTCAGAAGAAACAGATAAGTCCACACAAACCCTGTTGTGTGGATAAGAGTCTTAACACTGTAGCACTGTCCTCCCGTTGTTCATCGATTTGCTCAAGCAGGCACCAGTAATGTCTCCATTGTGAGATTTGTTACTGTTTGGCATATCGAATATGTCACGGGGAGCTTGCCAGGCTCTGCCATGCGGGCAGGATACGCTCGGTAGCTTGCCGGGCTCTCTGAGAAGGACAGAGGAATCGAACCCCGGTCGGCTGTGTGAAAGGCAAATGCCCTACCCACTGTGCTATCATCACTCCGGCCTAAAAGAGTCTTAGCCATGACAATGAAAGCACAAACAACAAAAGAAAAAAATTAAATTTATTAAGAATCAGAAAACGTTGGTGTTTCAAAAGAAACTATCAATAAAGGGAAATGCCATGGCACCCTAGGGCTGGCAGCAGAAGTGTTGAGACCTGTGTGCTCAACCCGGTGCCACTGACGTGCATACACAGAGCATGACCTGACGCGGGAGGAATTGAGAATGTGATATGCATGAATCCATCAGAGTTAACATGAAATCACAGTGCCTCAGTACACTTATTTTTAATTTTTTTTGGGGGGGTCAAACCCAGCCGATGCTCAGGGGTTACTCCTGGCTCTGCACTCAGGAATCACTCCTGGCGGTGCTTGGGGGACCATATGGGATGCTGGGAATCAAACCCGGGTCGGCCGCGTGAAAGGCAAATGCCCTACCTGCTGTGCTATTGCTCCAGCCCCGATAGCACAGCGGGTAGGGCGTCTGCCTTGCACGCAGCCAACATGGCCGACCCGAGTTCGGTTCCTCCGCCCCTCTCGGAGAGCCCGGCAAGCTACCGAGAGTATTCGATATGCCAGACACAGTAACAACAAAGTCTCCAATGGAGACGTTACTGGGCCCGCTCGAGCAAATCGATGATCAACGGGAGGGCCTTTACCTTTTACCTTACCTTAAGGAATTCTTACAGTTCAGGACAAAAGTAAATAAATAAATAAATAAATAACCGAGCGATGCCTGTGACGTGTTGTTTCCCAAGGAAGATTCACAAACAACCCACATGGGTGTGGATGTGCTCGGCACTGCTCACTAGCAAGCAGGGAAATGCAAATCAGAACTACAGTGAGTGGGCCCAGAGCTATAGGACAGTGGGGAGGGGCCTGCCTGGCACATGGTCAGTCTGGGTTCCAGCCCAGCCAAGAGTGATCCCTGAGCCCTGAGTGCAGAGCCAGGAGTAACCACTGAACACTGCTGGGTGTGACCCCCCACACACACCAAAAAAAAAAAAAGCAAACAACCAAAAAGGATGTGTCCACATAAAACCTGGATCAGAATTTTTATAGCAGACTTGTTCATAGTAGCCAAAAATTCAGAAACAACCCAAATAGTCTGTCAGCCCAGCAAGAGACAAATACAGTACAACCTGCCCACACAATGGAATATCATTCCACCATGAATGAAAGTGAAGAGCTGAACTGACAAAGGTCCCCAAGGGCGGGTGCCTGGAGAATGTTGCTAAAAGGGAAGCCGGACCCCAAAGCCCACCACACCTTTTAGACGAAATGTCCCGAACAGCCCAGTCTACAGAAACAAAAACTGGACCCGTGGCTGCCAGGGCTGGTGGAGAGATGATGGTATATGATGAACATCTAAGTTTCTTTAGGACGATGAATTTCCTATAATTAACAGGGGGGCACAACACTTTACAGGTCTGATCACAGAACTTTAAAAGAGCAAATGGTGTGGTATAGGAGGGATAACTCAACTGAAAGTGAATTCAAACAAAGAGAAAGAAAACCCGATCCAAGGAGGAATCAGTAAGAGTTATTTCTTACTCATCAGAGACCACATGAGCAAGGAGAAAATGAGGTGAAACACAGAGAAGGGGGGAAAAAAACCATCAACTAAGACTTCCGTGTCTGGGACCAGGAAGATGCTCAGCAGACAGCACCTGCTCTGCATGTAGGAGCCCAGGTTTGACCCCCAGCACCCCGCAGTCCCGTGGGAACTGCAAGGAGCTCAGCTCCCAGTCCAAAGCCCCAGCCCCAGAGCACACTGAGTGCCACGAGCAAGAAAGCAAAACAAAGTATCCAAAGTACAGGCTCAACAACACTGAAAATATGAGACCTAAGCCTGCAACCACTGAAACTTTACCATGTGCCTGTCAAGTTGACAGGCAGGGATAGGGTGGGTGTTGGGGTGGGGAGGGAGTATGGGGACACTGGCAGAGGCAAGTGGACATTGGCGGTGGGATTGCTGCTGAAGTATCATGTGCCTAAAACTTGACTATCAAAACTTTGTAAATCACAGTTCTTAAAAATAATAATAATAATAATAATAATTCTGTGTCCAGTGAATTTTCCTTCAGATCTGAAGGACAAATAAGAACACTGTCTGACAAACTGTGGCAGTATGGGAGTGGCCAGAAGGCACCGGTGACCACTCATGTCCCTGTCCCACAGAAGTGGCTCCTAGCCTGCTGGACAGGTAGGTTGGGCACACTCCCTAGGGGCACTGAGGACCCCACCAGGCCTGCCTGAGGGGGTAGAGCCTAGAATGTGACTCTCGAGTCCAGGTCGGGGGAAGGGAGGACATGGGACACGGCCTGGCCCTCCCTATCCATCACATCAGGTCCCCCCCCCTTCTAGAAGATTCCAAGTCAAGGTCTGCCCCAGGCGGAGAAAGAAGGCCCCACACCTGGTGTCAGTGCAGGAGTAGTCTGTCCCTGTGTAGGGAGCCAGCTCATAGCCTTCAAGTAGAGGACCCCGGCCCCTGGGTGGGGGTGGGCAGGACCCAGCGGCGGCACCCACCTGGGAAAGGTCCTGCTCCGCAGCTCCTTGATGAAGAGCTGGCTGCCGTTCTGTACTGGCTTCACGTCGGGCGTCTGCCCTGGGCTGTGCTTATGCCAGGTCCGCTTCTTCTTCACTGCGGGGACAGGTGGCAGAGGATCCCCCGGGGGTCGGTCCACCACCCCGCCCACAGCCCGCTGGATGTCCTGGCCGGTCTATAGCTCCGCCCACAGCCTTACCCAATGTTCTGGCCCGTGTATAGCTCCGCCCACAACCCCACCCACATCCCCGCCCACAGCCCGCCCAATATCTCAGCCCCTCTGTAGCCCAAGCCCCGCCCCCCGCTCCTCCCACAGCCCACTCAATGTCCCGTCCCGTCCCGGTTATAGCTCCGCCCACGGCCCCGCCCAGTTTCCCATCCATCGATAGCTCCGCTTATAGCCCCACCCAAGTCTCCATCCCGCCTATAGCTCCGCCCACGACTCTGCCCAAAGCCCCGCCCAATGCCCTATCCCGCTATAGCTCCGCCCACCGCCCCGCCCCATCTCTGCCCTCAGCATCAACTCCATTGAGTCTCCCCCCACCCACCTTCTCTCCAGACCTGCCATCAAAGAATAAAGTCTATCACCTTCCTGAGGGACCGAGTCACCTGACAGCTCCAACTCAGGGCAGGGGCAGGCTACCATGGCTGTCCCCTCCACCTGCATAACCGCTGGACACCCACTTGTACTCTGCCCCTTCCTCCACCTTGGTGGGGACCAGTTCTCTCCACCACCCATGGATGCTTCATAAGTAAATTCATAAGTAAATCCCTGTGGGTGCTTGGAGGTGGGGGCGGGCTAGAAACGACTTCCTCAGCCCTGGTGCCCATCTATGGGGCCCTGCAGGGGTGAGGTCAGACACAGCCAGCAGGGGAGGGGCTGGGCAGGCTGACTAGTGGGCAGAGTGGAAGTGGAGCGGGAACCTGCAGCACGTCCTCCTCCACATTTGGAATGCAGGATGGAGAGAGGCCAGGTCTGTGACGTGGCCCCAAGAAGGAGCACAGTGGCTGTGACTTGCCCTCTGGCTGAGTGCCCCTTCCTAGTCCGCCAGTAGGTGCTGGCCCCTAGAGACCACCAACACCAGCGTGATGTCTCCAAGGACACCGGACAGGAGAGAGGCTCCAAGCTGGGACCTCATGTAGCACCAAGCCCCCAAAGGCCCTGGCTGTCTGCCTCCCTCTCTCCTGCCCTGGGAGTGGCCCCCAAGGTCCACAGACATCTGTCCGACTCTCTCCTGCCCTGGGATTGCCTGCCCTGAAGGGTCATGGACGTCTGCCCCACGTTTTCCCAGGAGTGTTGGCCCAGCCCCGGCTCTTATGGGGGTGACACTGGCACAGTGCCCAAAGGAACCAGGAGGTAAGCAGGGAAACCAGCTTCCTGCTGTGGACACTGGCTCACGGGCTCAAGCATCTGTCCCGACCCCTGACTGCCCCTGGGGCCCATGGCCCCCAGCACAGCATGAAAGGGATGCTCGGGGACACCCTCCAGACCCATTGGCCTCTGTGCAGAGCCCCACGGCAGAGCATGGACTCCGGGGCAAGAAGGGCTCAGCTCAGTCCAACCCATCAGGTGCCTGAGACTAGGAGCTGCTCCGACCTCCACCTGCTGTGGCTGTCTGTGGGTCCAGCAGCTCACCTCTGCTCCGTCTCCAAGGAAACAAAGGAGCAGGAGTCACCCCAGCTCTGTCCAGAGGCACCAGGAGGGGGCAGAGGGACTCTGAAACACCCTGACACTGCTGCCTTTCCCACTGGCCGTGTGATGGTGCCAGGAGTGTCTGAGACAGGCCGTGCCCCCTTCGGGTCTGTCCCTACAGTGAACAGAAAGCTAGCCCTGGCCCAGCTGGTATCCTCCTCCTCCCCGGGGCTCAGCGGGCCAAGCAGCCCCAGGTCTGCATACGAGCCCTCAGGTACCCTCAGCCCTGGTACCCTTGCATCAGTGGTCCCCTTGCATCAGTGGTCCCCTCCCCAGTCCACAGCAGGCCCCAGAGAACCAAGGAGGCCCTGCCCACACAGTGCCACTCTGGACCCCCAAAGCCCACAGGTCCAGGAGGTGGAGTGGGGGTACCCCAGTACCCCAGTTCCCTCCCTCTATGCTAGCTGGACCCAGACGACTCCCCATGGGGCACAGGTGTCCAGTGCCTGTGTCAACTTGGGAAGAAGAGCGCGACCTTTGAAAGGGCACGGCCATCCCACTAGCCACCCAGTTCAGTGCCCGGGACAGCAAAGCTGGGCCTAGTCACCCCACCGGGCCCACAATCAGCCGGCAGCTCCTAGGAAGCCCTGCCCCAAGCTGGACTGGCTCCAAGGCCACACGGAGCACTACACTGTCGCCCTGCATGCGGTCTGCCCTGTCCCCGGGTGAGGGGCTCCTGGACTCTGTGTATCCCACCCGGGTTTAGTCTCGGGGCTCAGCACTCATGTCCCTGCTCAGCCATGACCAGAGCCCACGGGACAAACCTGCACCTTTGGGGTCCCCTGAACCCACACAGGAAGCAGTATGGAGAGTCCCTAGGATCCACCCCCAAGAGAGCCCACACAGAAGGCAGTTTGGAGGGTCCCGACTCCCCCCAAAGGAGCCCACACAGAAAGTGGTGTGAGGGTCCCCTGACTCCCGCTTGGATCTGGAGAAGGGCATCACATGCTGAGACTCCCTGTGGCAGTGGTTAGCCTGGTGGCCCATGGACCTGTGTCCCACCCAAGTCCTGCCTCAAGCCACAGGCAGCCCTGCCCCAGCCTTTGAAGCTGGTGGGTCTCCACCCGGGGCCTGGGAGCATCCCAGGTTGATGGAGAGGCCACAGGAGTCAGGGGTGGGGGGCAAAGGTACAAGAACTCAGGCTGGTGGGGACACTGGGGGAAGGTCACCCTGCAGGGCCAGGCCTAGTGCTGGGGGCAGGGACCCTGCTCCTGGGGCCTGAGTGAGGACAGTGCCGGGCGCGGTACTTACACGTGGACTTGCCGTGGGTCTTCTCGCAGTTGGGGCAGTGGTAGATGTCGATGTCGGGGGCCTCCTCCTCCTCCACGCCAACGCAGCTGGAATAGAGGGGACACGTGTCACCACAGCCAGCAGCTCCTCCAGCACCTCCCCCGAAGCCCAGTGGCGTCCCAGCCCGAGAGCAGAGGACAGCGCCAGTGCAGGGACTACCCGAACGGGGTCCCAGAGGGCAGAAGTGGTCAGGACAAGGCCTGAGTGTCCTGCAGGACAATCTCTCCCCAATAACCTTGACTGCGTGGCCACCCCCACCATTCCCCAGGGCCAGCACAGAGTCATGGCCAGACCCTCCAGTCCCCGTGGAGGCCTGCTGGACGCTGCCCCCCCACCCACAGGGGCCGCATTCTGACTGACCATATAAAGAGCGAAGTGGAAGCCTCGCCCCACGCCACACACAAGAACCAACTCAAAAGGAATTAACGGGCTGGAAAGACAGTACGGCAGGTAGGGCGCTAGCCTTGCACACAGCTGATTTGGATTTGGTCTCTAGCACCATAAAGGGTCCCCCAGCCCCGCCAGGAGGGACCCCTGAGCACAGAGCCAGGAGTTATCCCTGAGCACCACCGGGTGTGGCGCCAACTAGCCCCCACCCTCAAATATATAGACGAACGACCCAAATGTAGGAAGCAAAACCGTACAGCTCTTAGAGGAAAATCGAGAGCAAATCTCCATGATCTTGGATTTCATTATGGATTCTTCTGCATGACACCAAAAGCATAAGCAACAGCGACGAGAAAAGATCAACGGGACATCACAGAATAAGCTTCTGTGCATCGAGTGACACGAATGCTGTCGGGAAAGGACAACATACAAAACAGGAGAAAATATTTGCAAATCATGTAGCTAATGGGATCTGAGCCTCCGGAATACATAAAGAGCTTTGCAGCGTGACAACCGAACAAATCAATGTAGAAAAGGGCAGGAGCCTTGAGTGCACATTTCCCCAAACATGGAAAAGAACGGCCCGCAAGCTCACGAAAGACGTGCTCAGCATTCAACAGTGCCCCTGAAACACAAACAAAAACCAGTGGAGAGCACCTCAACCCCACAAGGGCGAGAACATTCCAGAGAGGGAACCGAGAAACAGAGCTGGGGACGGCGCAGAGAACTGTCAAGCCTTTCAGGAGAGCAGCGGGAACATCAAGTAGGGCCATTTCTGGGGGAAACAGTCCAGCGGCACCCCAGAAAGTTCACAGAGAATCACCCCATGACCTCTGCTTGGAGGTCCAGACACTCAAGAGGAATTAGAACCGGGAACAGTTGAGCCCATCGTTCTTAATGGCTGCATTTCCGCAGTGACTGAAATGTGGAGCCGAGTGCCTCATCCCTGAAGTGTGGAATAGACCAAAGGTGGCCCTCGGCGGCGGACAGACATGGCTCTGTTCTCCCAAGGGGGCGAAGCATGAACACAAGCTACTCCAAGGCGGAAGCTGAAATGGGAGGTGGAGTGAAGTCTTGCACAAGGGCCCGAGCCATGGACAAAGTCATGTACTCTGTGGTCATACCTGTGGACCTGCAATAGGGGGTGGGGTGGGACCATTGGGGGACACCAGGGAGCAGGGAAGGGGCCTGGGCTGTGAGTGTTGAGTGGGTACCAAGTGTCCTTGGGAGACAAGAATGTTCTGGATTCAGAGAGAGACAACTGTGCTACACTACGAAGGCAAATGAATGCCACCGAATGATCCCCTTTGACAAGGCTGATTTTATGTTACGGGAACTTGATCTCATTATATAAAGAAAAAGCAGCGATTCCGAGAGGGACACATCTCATCACCACCATTCAAATCTAAGGCACCATACTCCTAAGGACTGGTCACTTGGGCCCTGGCTGGCCACACTGCCCAGCACTCCATGGGGATAGCACCAGTAGCACTACCCAGACTCAGCAACAACAAAAGCACCATCGGAGACCACCCCCTGAGTGGCATGTGGCCAGTGCAACCACACCGGGACAGGTATGGCCGGAAGAAGCCAGATAGATGTTTCTGGAAATGCCAAGTGCACGCCCCCATCTCAAACATGAGCCAAGTTAAGTCCAAGCAGAGTCAAGAGTTGGGAGCAAGGGCCTGAGAGATGGTACAGTGGGTAGGGCACTTGCCTTGCACGCAGCTGACCCGGATTTGATCCCTGGCACCCCGTAGGTCCCTGGTGCTCCTCCAGGAGTGATCCCTGAGCTCAGAGTCAGGAGTAAGTCCTGAGCACCACGGGGTATGGCCCAGAAACCAAAAAGATCAAGAAAAGAGTCAGTGCGGAGGCGAGGGAGGGCCGTCTGCTCTCAGAGTCGGGCAGACAGGGAGAGCAGAGGGGAAGCTGGGGGTGTGCAGGGGCGGGGTCGCAGCCATTTGTGCCCTGGAAGGCTGGGGCAGGGCCAGGAGCAGACAGACCCTCACCGCCCACGGGGAATGCCCATCGCACTGACCATGGTGGAAGGGGGCCATAGTCACGCAGTCATCTTCCCCTGACAAGCTCAAGGGTGGCGCCCCTAGTGGTGCAGGCACAGAAGTGCACACGCCGAGTCATGGAACCACATCGAGGGCCCCTGCTGGACAACCTCCCACAGTACTCCTCCCACTCCCCATGACCCCCACAGCCAGCCCGCTCCTTATGCTTAATCCACAGGGCTGCATGGAAGAGGCAGGGTCCCAGTGCTCCCTTCAGGCCGGACGGCGCCCTCAGCCTTTTTCTGAGCTGGTGTGTCCAGGTCATGGCCTGCCCCCTCCCCACATGCCCTCGGTGAGGTCCCTGGCACAGGCCTGTCCAAAGAGTGCAGGGCAGCCTCAGTGGCTCGAGCCACGTGGCGGCGGAGTCCAGCAAACCCGCGGGGTAGAGACACCCAAGGCTGAGCACTGTGGGCTGAGTCTTCTGCCCACCCCCACCACATGCTGGGAGCCCGAGTGAGTGGTCAGCCGAATCTATAATCAGACCCAGAATCCACATCCGAGTCCACGGCCAGGGCAGCCCCTTCATCCACAGCCGGTGCCCACGCTGTGTCCGTGCCAGGAGCCTGGCAGGGTCCTCTCACACCCCCAGCTGGGCATGCCCTGGCGCTATACACCTTCTCACTGCATGTGCCCCTGCCTGCCTGTCACGGGGCAGAGGGCAGGGCTGGGCAAGGATAAGCCCCCCACGTGCCAACCCGAGGGGTCAAGAGTTTTGCAGCCAGTTGGTGACTTTCCAAAAGGTCAGGACTCATGCACCGCCCCCAGAAGGTCCAAAAACCTTTCAGAACCTGGTTCCGGGGTGCAGGGGGTCCAGCCTGCCCTCCCGTGAAGGTCACACAGGTGGCTGGGTCCCACTCAATCCAAAGGAGGGGCCAGAGTGATAATGCAGGGGGTAAAGTATTTCCCTTCCACACACCCCACCTGGGTTTTGATCCCCAGCATCCCAGGTGGTTCCCGAGCACCCCCAGGAGTGCTTCCTGAGTACAGAGTCAGGAGTAAGTCCTGAGCATCGCCACGGATGGCCCAAAAATCAAACAAACAAACAAAAACAGAACTGGGACAAAAAAAGCGAAACTACCTTAAAACACAGCCTCCCCACCCCCAGTCCAGGCTTCCCAGCCACCTGTCAGGACCAGCCAGGGCATCCCCAGACACCCAGTCCCGGTGATCTCCCATCAGGACCAGCCACCCAGACACCCAGTCCCGGTGGTCTCCCATCAGGACCAGCCAGACCATCCCCAGACACCCAGTTCCAGCGCTGGCAGGAGCCAGGCCCATCGGCGTAACGGAGGGGAGAATTGAGGCCCCAGTGTGGGGACGCGCCTGTCGCCCCTCGTGCCCTGCAGTCCTCTTTCCTCCCGAGATCCCAGCACTGCTGTGTTTGGAAGCTGAGGTTGCCGCAGGCCTGGGGGCCGGAGAGGGGGATGGCACAGGACATGAGGCAGGGGTCAGGGTCCCTTAAACTTTACAAGCCCCCTGGGGCCAGCTCTTCCCAGAAAAAAACCCCACCCCATGGAGGGAACCACAGGACACATGCTCCCTCCCCGAGGGCAACTCTGTCACTTTCTGTGCTGTTTGCAGAGGGGCAACCCTGACTCCTGGGGGGCCTCGAGGATCAGGAAACTGTCTGCATGCTGGCGAGGTGAGTGTACCAGGGGTGCTGACTCCAACTGCTCAGGATTCTGTTTTCCCCAAAGACCATCTGCAGGGCCTAGAGCAACAGCACTGGAAAGGCCAGACACTTTCCTGCCCGAGTTCATGGTTACCAGGGCCCAGAGTCTAAGGTCCTTGAGCAGAGCGCTGGCCTGGAGACAGCATGGGGGTGGGGGTGGGGGTGGGGGGCGGGACGGACACCTCTTGCCTGGAGCCTGTGAGTAGCCTGGAAGCCATGGAGCCTCGAGGGTGGGCTTTGCTCAGGCCCATGGGCACATCCTGGGATTTCTGTTGATTTCAACCTACACAAAGGCTCCTGTGACTTTTATTATTTTGTTTTGTTTTGTTTTGCTTTGCTTTGTTTTTTGGGCCATACCCAGTGATGCTCAGTGGTTACTCCTGGCTTTGCACTCAGGTGGTGCTTGGGGGAACCACATGGGATGCTGGGGATCAAACCTGGGTCGGTGGGGTTGAAGCGATAGCACAGCAGGTATGGCGTTTGCCTTGCCCATGGCCGAGCAGGGCTTGATTCCCAGCATCCCATATAGTCCCCCAAGCACTGCCAGGAGTAATTCCTGAGTGCAGAGCCAGGAGGAACCCCTGAGCATCGCCGGGTGTGACCCCCCCCCAAAAAAAAAAAAACCAAATACCTGGGTCAGCCTCATGCAAGGCAAATGCCCTACATACTGAACTATGGCTCCATCCCCTGACAGTTATTTTTAAGTCAGAGGTATCATGACAAAAACAGAAGTGGCCTGTTTCATGGTGGCTGGGGGGTGACATGTGAGTCAGCCCGTGATATGCATAGCAGCCACTGCCTATGGAGTGTTCGGGTTACCCTGAAAGGGGAAACTGAGGCCAGAGAAGCCAGCACTTGCCGAGCCCAACCAGAAGTGAGATAACTCGGACTACCACGCCAGGCCCAGCTGTGGGACCACACTGCAAAG